TATTTCACACTTTGTGATCACAAGTTCAATAACATATCTGAAAAATTACTTAAAAACTAGTCACACTTTGAATCCTTTATGAAGCATGCTTCATTTAACATTGCCTTAACACATTTTCTCTGCATTTAGAAACCCATGTATTTCTCTAACAGTGTTTTGCTTACACAAAAATTGCTTAAAATACAGAATCTAATATAGTCTAAGAAAAGAAAAGAAAAATGATAGGATAGCTCTAAGGCTAGAGTATGTTGGGCTTAAAACCCCATCATTCTATCTATCCTGGAAACAGGATACCATAATTCACTGTAAGTCTTTGATTTTGATTCACAATGTTTAAATAGGCCCACTTTCCATGAATTCTCTTGGGCACTCATTTACAATCACTGCCTTCTCTTCTAGGTAGTGTCACAGTTATTAATGAAGACGTGTATTGAAGCTTTTGACAATCCTGGAAAGTTCCTTAAAGACACAGTGATTGCTTTAGCAGATCATCACTTACGTGCCCTGAGATTTGTTAATAAACTTAATAATTTTTTCTTTCTCATTTTCAGTTAAAGCAACATTTTCTGTTTTGAAGCAGGGTTTTTAGACTTTTTTATGGAAGCATCCCTAACCCAATATGGTCATCAAGATCTATAGGGTTGACCATTGTTTCCTGAGTCTCTTTAAGAATAGTTCAAGAGAATTCATTTATTTTCAGATGACACATCTGAGGCTCCTGAATTTTCTTGATATTCAACCACCATGTTTGAAAGGAAGCTGGGAATAGGGGATAGAGCCTTGAACCCAGGGTCAGTTCTAATACCAGCTTTGCTGCTACCCATTGGTCTTTGGGAAAACATACTCAGTCCCTCTAGGCCTCTATCGTAGGATAGGCCTCAGCAACACTTTCCCCTCAAATTTGTGCTTCCTCCTCCCTTTTGGAAGCTGCCACTAGCTTCTTCAGGTTAGGGTAGTTCCCCTTCTTGTTCAGAAATTCCCTCAACTATGTTCTCCCATTTGTACCTGAGGTTCCAGAGAATTCTCCACAGGCTTCACCTTTCTTGTACCCTTCAACCTTCAAAACACACCTGTTCTAAGACTCCCTCCAAATCCTGTGTGGTGACTCCCTCATTAGAATGTGAGTTCCTTGAGAGTAGACTATTTTTTTTTCTTTTTTTTTTATCACCAACTCTTAGCACAGTGCCTGGCACATAATAGATGTTTAATAAATGCTAATTGACAAACTGACTAGCTAACTATGCAATTCAAAGGCATTAATGTTGAAGCATGGTTGAATGTCTTACCCTTTCCTGGGCCACATTTGCATTTTTACATGGGACTTCAGTGTCTTAAGCCCAAAGGCATAAGTCATGTGGAAACTTCATGTAGTATTCAGGACCGATAGGGTATGGAGGTCTTCTGGTTCCTCACAAATCATACCACATAGACAGCTGTTTATTCCCTATGGAATAACATTAGAGAAGCTGATAAGGAAAGCTCCCTAAGAAAAAATAAGCGCTACGTTGTCTCTCTTCTAATTTGTCTCTAGAAAGTGGTGCTGCAGGCATCCTAAGGTAATGGGCAAGGACCCCTGCCACCCCTGAGGTTGAGTGTTTCTGTGCTGACCCTCAACTCCCTTGAAACTTCAAGAGCCAACTTGGCTTAATAAGGATATTCTTTCCTATAAAAATACTGCAATGTTTTTGGAGCCGTTGCCCTTCTCAAAGAGGTTATTTCATCTAACAATATGCTTTGAAAGCTACCCGTGGTTGCCTCAAGCAGGTGGTCTCCAAATGCAGATTCAAAATGCCTTACCCCTGGTGAAAATAAGACTAGTGCTCTGGAAACGTAGCCTTTTAGGCAGGTGGTTTTCAAGCCAGATGATGGCTTAAGCAGGTTTACTGTAATGCAGCTATGAGAGAATTGACCCAAATCTTTGCCCAATTTTTGACTAAAGCATAAGAGATTTCCCTAATTTAAAAAATAGGCATAGATTTAATTTTTTTAAAATATTATTTAAAATGCAATTCATTTTGATTAACATTTATGAAATATCTACTTTATAAGCACTGTGATAGGTGCTAGGAGACCTTGGGAAAGTCACGTCTTGGGGCCTTAGTTTCCACAACTGTAAAATGAAAGGTTGAACTAGATGACCTTTAACATCCCTTTTAACTCTACACCTACGATCACATGAAATACAAAGACTGACAAGACACAGCTCCAGTGCTCACGGAGCTTTAATTAAATAGGCAGGTTAAGACACATTAATAAATCATGGAGATGAACACATTGATGTTCAAAATGCTGCATGAGGTCTGAGAACCATTTCTGTCTGGGGGGATCAGGAAAGGCTTTATGGGAGAGCTGGAATGTGAGCTGAGTCTTAAATGATAGGTAAAAATTAAGCAGGTGGGGATAGAAAAGGAGGGGGCACTTCAGGCATCAGGAATAAGCAAAAACGTCTGTTATTTCTGAAGAAAACACAGTAAAGTTTATATATCATAGGGGAATGTCTAGTAGGTCAGTTTTGCTCAAGTTTACACTTGAATATCCTGATTTTAAAAATTATCTTTGGATTATAAAAATTTAAGAATAGATATACCTTTAAAACAATGTAACCTAGAAGGCAGTAAAGGGAGAACATAAAGAGTCTTAGACAAATATGCCAATCTGCCTTTTAATTTTGTTTATATTCAGTTTATGACAACTTTCAGAGGAACTAGCTGATTTTTAAATCAAATTTGGTACATAATTAGATATCAGTATATGTCTTAAGTCTGATTATTTTTTTACTTTGCCATCTTGAAACAAAATAGAAGATGATCAATTTACAAATGGATGTATCTTCTGCATATTTTAAACAGATTTGGTTGAGATCTGGTTCATGAATAGATCGTATAGAAATATGACTGCACAGAATAAGGTCCACAGTTCATAGAATCTTTCATTTGTATATGCAGCTTTGATGATCTTGGTATCATAAAACACCAACTGAGGCATGCAGTTCTCTGAAGTATGTCCCCCTTCAGGCTGTATCATTATCAATGTGATCTTCTTGAACTGGGACGGGTCTTCATTGGCAAGTCAGGAGTAAAGGCTCTAATTAGTCCAGATTCAATGGTATTAGATGGATGGGAAGTGAGGATGTGGGCACAGAAAACCAATAGGCCAAAATAATACAGCTAAGAAGTGTTTTGAGCAGCAATCTGTTGAAAGTATTGTAATGTTAGTGCACAACTAACACTTCAGATTGTTAGAAGCATATGACAAAATAGGAATAAGTCTGTATCGGAAATTAACTTTAAAACCCAGCACCTTCCAACTCCTTTCCTCTCCCCCCCAATTAAGGCTGCAACCAGGTTGACTGCTCCCTGTTTCTTATCATTCTATGTGGATCTTGCTAAAGGTTAGCCTGCTAATTGACACTAATCTCTCTTATGATTCCAAGGCTGCCATGTGCAACTGACATTGAAACCCTTGGTATTAAAAAAAAATGTGGCAGCTATTTGGGGTAATGGATGGATAGCACTGGGCTTGCTAACTAGGTGACCCTGGGCAAATCAGTCAGCCTCTCTGTGCCTCCTGCTTCTCAACTGTAAAATGGTTAGGATAATCTTACCTACTTCACAGGATTTTTTGTGAGGATCAAATGAGTTAATACATGTAAAATGCTTTCCAAACCTTAAAGCCCTATTTACATTAGCTATTACTAAGTTCCAAAAGCAAGGAGAAATCACTAATGATGATAGCTCACATGTATGTAATACTTTAAAATCTACATTTACTAAGAAAACTGAAGCACTGAGAGGTTCCTAAGTGGCAGAGCCAACATTCAAATCTTGGAAGTCCACTGAGATTTTCTGCTCTATTACATAAAGATGCAATAATGGAGTCCTTAACTAGACTCCTAAGTCCCCATCAAGTAGAATATAATGATTAGGATAAAAGATGACAGAGCATAGTATCAAGGAGCATAGATTTAGAGTTAGAAGAGACCTTGGAGGCCATCAGGTTCAATCCCTTCACTTTACAGACACTGAAGCACAGAGAGGTGAAGGGAGTTTTCCAGGGTCACACAGCCAGTAAAATCAGAGGTAGAATTTGAACTCAGATCTCTTTGACTGTGAGTCCAGAGCTCTATCCCTCATATTACCATTCAATTATCTATTGTGGAAAACAACAAAAAAAATTGCATTGGAAGTCAGAGGAACAAAGTTTGAATCCTGGCTTTGCCACTTATTAGTTGTTTGACTTTGATCAGGTCGTGTCACCTTTATGGGCCTCGGTTTTCCCATATATAAAATGAGGGGGGTGAACTAGATTACCCTTTACCCCCTCCACTTTAATATTCATGAAATTGATATCTTACTGAGTAAGAACAATATTTTAGAACTTAGCTGGGATTTCATTTGTATTGAAAATACCTGGTGAAGAAACCTCTCCCACCCCCTCCACCTGGCATCCCTCAGCCCCCAGCCCAAAGCCAATCAACACCTGCTATGCACTTAGAGAATTTCCTCTGGGACCCTATGGTAAAGCCAGCATGTGTGGAAAGGCTGAACTTGAACTCAGGCTGTTCTCGCTCTGAGACCAGCTCCTCTATGACACACTGCTTCTCTAAAAAACAGCATTAGCTCCTTTAAAAATCAAATATGTATGGAAATAATAATAATAATAATGGTATTTATATAGTGCTTTAAGGTTTGCAAAGAGCTTTAAAACATATCATCTCAACTGATCCTTACAATAACCCTGGGAAGTAGGTGCTATTATTATCCCCATTTTTACAGATGAGGAAAACTGAGGCAGACAAAGTGACTTGCCCGGGGCCACACAGCTGGTGTTTAAGGCCAGATTTGATCTCAAGTTTTCCTAACTCCAGACCTCTGCTCTAACCATTGTACCACCTAGCTGCCAACTATTATTTTCTTCTCCCATCCATTCTTTTTACCTAAGTCCTAAGATGTTTCTTTATTGTTTCTCTTCCTCTATCCCTATTGTCTCCAAATTCCTAGAGTATACAGCTGGAAGATTTGGACAGGATGACTCCACAGGATATGCTGTCTTCAGACTTGACCACAACCAGGAGGAGATCGTCACCCTCTCCATGTTTGTCCGAACCCGCAAGTCATCTGGCTTTCTCTTGGCCTTGAAGAATGGTACTTTCCACTACGTTAATGTCTGGCTAGAACATGGAAGAATAGCAGTGTTGACTCCAAGTTCTCCTAAGTTATTGGGAAGATCCCTTGTAAATGATGGAAACATTCACTTGATATCTTTGAAAATAGCACCAAATAAAATTGAACTTTATCAGTCTTCCCAAAACTTAGGATATCTTTCTACTTCCACACGGAAAATTCGAAGTGGAGACATTCTCTACGTTGGAGGCCTACCAGACAAAAAAGAAACTGAATTCTGGGGTGGGTACTTCAAAGGATGTATCCAGGACATAAGATTAAATAGTCACAAACTGGAGTTATTCCCCTCTACAAAAGGAAATTCAACCCTCAATCAGACTCTTGTCAATGTGACACCTGGCTGCACTGGGGACAACCTTTGCAAGGTAGGATTTTCCATAGTACCAACCCTCACAGTGTGGTTTGACACATCTATTTTGATTTGTTATTCAGTTGTTTAAGTCATATTCAACTCTTAGCATCTGAATTTGGGGTTTTCTTGGCATTTCCTTCTCCAGGTCATTTGACAGATGAGGAAACTGAGGCAGACTGGGTTAAGTGACTTACAGATAGAAAGTGTGTGAGACTGGATTTAAACTCAGGTCTCCCTGACTCAGTGCTCTATCCACTGCACACCTAGCTGTCCCATCCATTTTGAAACTGCTTATGTAGTTTCCATTTATATCAAGGATGCTATAAACACATCATTGGTAAAGCCCAATCTGTGTGATGTTTTTTCTAGCAGCGGTAACTTCTGGCATGACTCTCTGGTGGCCAATAACAAACTAGTTTAAGGTAACTGGCTAAGAATAAGGAGTTCAGAAAACTTACTAAGGGCAAACATGTCATTTTGAACTTAGTAGCACCATGCACCAATCACATCAACTGATAGACAACAAAAACAAAGGGTAAAAAAAGACTAAAATCCTAACAGCAACTACCCCTCTCCCTTCACAGGAGTCAGCAAACTATGACCCACAGGTCAAATCCAGCCTACCTCTTTTGTGTAGGGTCAGTGAACTAAGGATTTTTTTTTTTTTTACATTTTAAAATGAAGTTTTATTGGATTTAAATTTTTAAAGCCATTTTTAGCTCCATGGCCATGCAGAAACAAGTGGTAGTTGGATTGAGAACTCAGGTAGTAGCTTGCCAACCCTAGATGGCGAACAGGAACTAGATTCATGATTTCATTAGTTAATAGAGAGCTTCCTAGAGCACTAAGAAACTTGCCCAGGATCACACAGCCAGTGTGTGTCAGAAGCTAAACTTGAACCCAGAGCTTCCTGGCTTCAATGTAGACGTTATATACACTACAGCACACTATCTTTTTTAGATTGCACAAAGGATTAATTTCCTGAGCTTTTATTGCCATTTTATGGGTTTAATTAAGTCAACCCTGGTACTGAAATGACCTCATCCACCAAAAAGTTCAATATTTCTGAAAAAGTCAGCTAGGAAATGAGTTGGAAGGAAAGTAGTTATCTTATTTATATTACTTCAATTTTCCATAGGCATTTATAAAATATTATTTTACAAACCAAATGCTTTATTTTCTTTTTTCCAGTACTATGCTCCTGAAGAGAAGCAGGGTGGGGGTAGTAGTAGATAAAGAGTTGGTTGGGATCAGGAAGATGTAGGGTTCCAGGTCTGTCTCTTACTGTCTATGTGAGTGTGGACAAGGTACCATACCAGAGAGTTCTCCACATTGATAAAATCACAACTCTGAGCAATATCATCAACAATAAAGAAAAATGTTCTAAAAGCTTGCCACACATCCCAAATTATATGGATCTGTCCATTGAGTATGGAGCTCCACAGATAAAATTTTAAAAGGCACTTACATACATGTGGAATCACTAAAATTTGCATTTCATTTGAAATGCTTTAGAAGCACCATCTAAAACTAATATGGTAGTAACCATGTCTCCTGTTTGGGAAGGTTTCCTCTCATGGAAAACCCTTTTGGAATACACCAAAAGAGACTAAATAAAGGTCCCTTGCTCCTTTGACCTCTAAGCAGTGTCTTTTGTGTTTTACACACACACACACACACACACACACACACACACACACACACACCCACACACACCCACCAAGGAATGAACACGTTAATCATGCCAGCCACAGCTATTCTTCTTTTTCTTAGCACAGCGCAGATCTGGGAAAGGATAAGATGTGATTGGGGTAAGGTGGTGGGGGGAGAACAGGTACTTTTTATATGGTGTTGATTGCTTCCATTCTACCTCTATATGATGATATTATTTCTCCTTTTCATTTCTTTCTTCTAGTACAACCCCTGCCACAATGGAGGTGTTTGCTATTCCATCTGGGATGACTTCACCTGCTCGTGTCCCCCAAACACAGCAGGAAAAGCCTGCGAAGAAGTCAAGTGGTGTGAACTCAGCCCATGCCCACCTGAATTCCAGTGTCAGCTGGTGTTACGAGGCTTTGATTGTGGGTATAATTAAAAGATACCATTTTTTCAAATGAATCATAAAGAGACATCCACACAAAAACAATGCAGACCAAATTATCAGCTTGCTAAAAATGGTGTGGCCCAACATATGTACTAGAAAAAGAGTCTTGAGTTAATCCCAAAGTCCTTTTCTCTTTCTTACTTCTTTCAAGATTCCCCTGACTTCAAGTGTAAATCAGATGGGCCCCCTCTTTGGCTGCCTCTCCTGTCTCTTGATAATCCCAAGGAGATATGGAGCAATCCCAGCTCTAACTCTTCTGATGAATAAAGGCAATCAATCTTCTATACTTCCCTGCTCCCCCAAATAAAATGCAGCCCGGGGAGCCCTAGGTTACAATCTCTCTGAATTACTGGGAAAAAGTGATCCTGGAGTCTGAAAAATTTCTCACCCCACCTTTAACCCCATTGGATAATATAATGGAGCTCTGAGGCTGGGGGAGGAATAGCCCAGGGATTAAGAAGGAGAGTGTTCTTTGAACCCTCCTTGCTTGTGTTGAGTGGCTGCTATACTGGAATAGAATGGAACTCACTGCTGCCACTTATTACAGCTGCGACCTTGGTTAAATTTCTTAACCTCTATAAGACTCAGTTGCCTCATATGTAAAATAAGTTTGTCAGTTAGTGAATGTTTCTCTATTTTATTATCTATATTATTATTTATGTGCCAGGCACTGTGATAAGGATATAGAGGAAGGCAAACTGAGGGAGAAAAACAAGACAGCCTCTTAGGTCTACAGCTATGAGTTATAAAAATGATTTAATATCATAGTTCCAGTTTTGCTACCCCATTTTCTGAACAGCTCCATCATATCACACTTCTTCCTCTCTCCCCCATTGAATGAAGGAGAAACTCAATGCTTAGTTGATGTGACTTTACCAAGATTGCTCACTGTTGTCTCTTAATTAACAACAATAACAACAACAATAATAATAACAAATCCTAATCTCTGCTTTTGAGAAACAGCATTTTAAAGCTCATTACCAAATCTGAGTTTCCACCTCTGCTTGATGCCTATCCCAGAATAAAAATTTAGTTTGCTTTGGGCTCCTTTGGGAAACAAAGGCTATACTGACTGCGATAAATGGGAAAAGGCTAAAGATTAAAACAGGTTTTCTGTTTTGTTTCTCTTTTTTTTTTTTCATTTATTCATTGGCAACGTCTGTCTGATTCAGACTGTAAAATAGTCTGGCTATCACTTGCCAATGTTTTAGTAAATTGTTTCTCTTACCCTGTAGGGTTAATTTTAGGATTTTCTCTTTCATTTTGGAATGAACATTATTGGTATCTTGGTTCCCTTTTCTTAAGTAAAACATCTGAATGATAAAACTTAAGTCCCTAATCCCAATAGCATGTTACAGAAAGTCCAAGTCACTCTAATTCTATCTTTGCAAAAAGCCCAAGATTTCTGAGAGTGAGGGCCCCAAATTAATGACCATCATTCAGCCCATATCATTTTTCCCTGTTCCTCTCACTTGCTAAAATGGAACGCAGAAAGCCACCTAAGATTCAGGTAATGCAATCCCCCGAAAACATGCCCTTTGAAAATAGAGTTTTAGTCAGTGTTTTGGGGTTTTTTTTTTCCACAGTGATAGTGAAGCAGGGTCACCATATGTAAAATATGAGAGAAGCAGCTAAAGTATCTGGACCTCAACCCGACAAAAATGTCTAAGTCAAAAGGCTTTATATATGGCTTAACTCAGAGAAGAGAGAGACTGTATGTAATTGGATAGATATGATGCCATTTTCCTTTGAGAGAAGTGAAGGGTTCAGTTAGTGCAAATGCTAGAGTTCACCTTTTCCGCTTTCTAAGATCAAATTTTACAAGATGTTATTATCCAATCATTGCAGGCTTTTAAAAAACGAAACTATATTGAGATTAGGCCTAACAGTTCAGTTCGTACACAGCCATGGATTTAATTTATCCATGGTGATTTTATTCAGGATCTTATGTATATTTCCCTAACTTTAAACCAGAGCTTTTTAAAGCATGAAGTTATGGGAGGAGCAATCAAAGGGTAGCTGTGAGGGGAATGCTTTGTATGAGGCAGAGATGTAGTGGCTGGAGAGTCAACCTCAAAGTCAAGATATGAGTTCAAGTACCACCTCAGTCAGATGTTGGTTGTGTGATCCAGGTTCTCACTTAAGCCTTGAGTGGCCCAGGCTGCTCTGTCAGTCTACAAACGGTAGAATAGACACTGTTCTACATTGGCAGAGAGAGTTCCCCACTGGAGCCATCCCACCTTTACCCCAACAAAACTATTGTTGTTATTATAAGCTAAATGTGTGCTAATGATAGCCAGACGGCCTGAGTAAGAGGAGGGCAATAAATGCCAAAGAAGACTATGAATCTGTTAAGAGTAGTCCTTCATAGAGTCACAGATTTAGATGTAGAGGAGACCTCAAAGGTCCTTGTAAGAGGCGAACCTCACATTTTAGAGATGAGGAAACTGAGATCCACAGAATTTGAGATTTGTCTGCAATCACATATGGATGAAATAGCAGAGCCAGGTTGGGTACCTAGGTCCTCTAACTACCACAGGCATCATGGTTATAACCCAAATCACAGAGAGTGATCATGACATATTCAAAAATGCTATGCTCTGATTGAACTTTAAAATAAATTGTTCATTTACTGCCAGAAGTAGTGGGGAAAATGTTTTTTTGTAGTTTTCCTCTGGCTGGGCAGTCTCTTCAGCAAGTGTCTTATGATATGCCCAGTAGTCATATCCTCCCTGTATGATACCCACCCAGTGCTATGCTGGAACCAGCTCAAACCATCTCTTGGCAGATTATTAAGTGTAAGCAGCATTTATACCTCACTACAAATCAGTACTTGATTGTTTTGTTGATTGTCTAGACTTAAGAAAGTAATAGAGAAAATGTAATAATAATGAAGATTAAACTTAAAAGTGTTTGGGGGCTACTTTTTTTGGAGAGCCAGTGTTAAACATTTATCAACATATCCCTTACACTCTTCCAACTGCCGGTACCTTTGTGCCCCTTACGTAGGGCTGGTTTATTTTACTTAAGTGCAAAAAGCCCTCATTATGGCTCTATAAAATGAAGACTTAATCCATTTTGTTACATTGGGCTACTGTGCACAAAGCTGGACTTCTAATAAATACCACAGTACTTGGAAGACTGCATAATAATTCCTGAAGTTTCAAAGACTCCCTTTCTACTTAAGATTAAAAAAAAAAAACAACAAGCAAACTATACACGATGGTCTTATCAAGGTAGCAATAAGAGGTATGGACCATGACTGTCATTTATAAATTATTTGTATCACAGGGCTTGTACATTTAGGGCTCAAAGGGACCTTAGAAGTCATCTAATCCAACCTTTTAATTTTAAAGGTAATGAAAAGGGAGTGTTGAGAGGTTAAGTCAATTGCCTAAGATCAAAAAGTATTAAGGCAGCTGGGATTTGAACTGAAGGTCCTATAACTTTCCACTATATCATGCTTAATGAATCCTTCTTGATTAATTGATTGAAAAAACCTAAATCAGCTAATAAGTATCATTTTCTTTCCTTAGGTATTGCCAATGCTGTGTTCCATGGGCGGGAGAGTACCATATTTTTCAGAAGCAATGGAAAGATCACAAGGGAACTCACCAATATTACATTTGGCTTTCGAACCAGGGACTCAGATATCATCTTGCTGTATGCAGAGAAAGAACCAGAATTTATTACTATAAGTATTCAGAATTCTAGATTACTATTTCAATTACAAAGTGGCAATAGCTTTTATATGCTGAGCCTGAGGAGTATGCAGCCAGTGAGTGATGGAATGTGGCACCAGGTGTTTCTTTCTATGATGGAACCGTCGGCCCAGTCCTCTCGATGGCGAATGGAGGTGGATGACCAAACAACCATTGTGACTAGTACAGTAGCCACTGGAAACCTCAACTTTCTAAAAGAAGAGACAAATATTTATCTGGGTGATAAACCTTTTGACAATCTGGATGGTCTTCAAGGATGTATGAGCTCAGTAGAAATCAGTGGCATTTACCTCTCTTACTTTGAAAATGCTTATGGCCACACTAAAAAGCCCCAGGAAGAGCAGTTTCTCAAAATATCTACAAATCCAGTAGTCACTGGCTGTTCACAGGTGGATGCCTGCAATTCTAACCCCTGTTTGCATGGTGGAGACTGTGAGGACTTCTATAACTCTTATGGCTGTGTGTGTCCCATGGGGTGGACAGGGGCACACTGTGAAATCAACATTGATGAATGCTTTTCCAAACCCTGTATCAATGGCAACTGCTCTGATAGGATTGCAGGCTACGTATGCAGATGTAATCGTGGCTACACAGGTGTGAACTGTGAAACAAACATTGATGACTGTGAGAATCACCAGTGTGCAAATGGAGCTACCTGTGTTGATGGCATCAATGGCTATTCCTGTCTATGTTCTGGTAACTATACAGGAAAATTGTGCAGGTAAGTATTATCACTGGAGGACCCTTTATCTTTAGAACACACCTTAATCCTTTCTCTTTTAGAATAAGAAAACTTTAATCCCTGGGGTATACAATGGCTTCCTCACTTCTTGTACCAAGTGGTTAACAGGAAGCTAGGTGGCATAGTGGTGCATGCTGTCAGGAATACTTAGGTTCAAATCCCATCTCAGGCACTAATTTTGTGGTCCTGAGTAAGTCACTTAATCACTCTATAACACAATTTACTCCTCTGTAAAATGAGAGATTCGGATTCAATGGTCTCTAATATCTCCTTTACTTCTAAATTTATGATCCCATGAAAGTTCAACTTCACTAAAATTTGACCATGCCCTTTATCGGGATGACCTAGCCAGTTAAGTTGGTTACTACTTCAACCAACTACCAAGGGAGAATGTTTCTTTGTCAGGATATGAGAACTCACCAACAGGAGCCCATGAGGTCTTCTGACATTGGGGCACCTAGAATATTTATCCACATAAAAAAATTACTCCCAGGATATCTGGAAAACTAGGGAAAACATCGTTATTGCCACAGGAAAGAGCTGAGGAGGAAGGATTCAGAAAAGTATCTCTCAGCTCTCTAGAATATTAGAAAAACCTGAAGAGACTACTAGGTCAGTATTCAATTCCGGTAATAACCTAGTCAAGTCATCAAGCATTTATTAAGTTCCTACTATGTGCTAAGAACTGTGCTAAGCTCTAGGAAGACAAAAAAAAGTATACATGGGCTAAAAATGATTTTTTCCCTGAAAAATTATATTGCTTCAAGATTTCCATTCAAGGAAGTCATCATTATCTTCCATGGTTTACATGTTTTAAAATTTCTGAAACATTAAAGTATCTGTTTAATATTTATTGAGCATTGACTATATTTAAGTACTGTGGGGGGGGAGGGGGAAAGATATTCCTTATCCTCAAGAAGCTTACAATCTATTTCTATGTTTTGGCCCATATTTGTAAGTAACTCTGTTTTCAGATAGGCACACCAACCTGCCCAGATGGATTATAGTTATTTACGGTCAATCATAGCAAAATGAATGGCCCTCCCATATGAACTATTTCATTCTCTCGCTTAATGGTCTTGATTGCAGTGTTTTATAAAGGTTGCATAATGTATGATAATGAGTCTGAGGCTAGGAATTAGAGCTGCATTCAATTCCATTAAGCAAGAATTTATGAAGTGCCTACTAGATGCCAGCCAGGTATTATGTAAGGCACATGGATACATACACATACACACACACACACACACACACACACACACACTCGCTCCTCCCCTCAAGAAACTTCCATTCTATTGGTGGATGCAACATGGACACAAATAAACAAATACTAAATATACAGAATATAAATGCAAAGTAACTGGGGACAGACGGCACCGGTACCAGTAGTGCTGGTGGGACAGGATTTAGGAAGGCCTCTTTAGAGGGGTTCCAAGAATCAGAGGTGAAGAGAAAAAAATCCACCTTCTACGAGAAGTTTTTCCTAGACCACTCTCCTCCCCTCCTCCCCCAGTACATTGCCTGAAACATAGAAAGAGCTGGATTCATGCTTATTGGTTGACTGGTTAATAATAACTATCATTTACATAGCGCTTACTATGTGCCAGGCACTTTGCTAAGCATTTTAGAATTATTATCTCATTTGATCCTCGCAATAACCCTGGGAGATAGGCACTATTCTTATTCCCATTTTACAGATGAGGCAAACAGAGGTTAAGTGACTCACCCAGCATCACACAGCTGGCAAGTGTCCAAAGCCAGATTTGAATGGAGGTCTTCCTGACTCTGGGCCTAGAGCTCTAACCACAGTACCACCAGGCTTCCTAATTAAGGAGTAATCCAGGCCTTCACGACAGTATGAAGGTGGAAGATGAACTGTCGTTTACAGGGAACAGGAAGTAGGTCAGTTTGGTTGAAATGAAGCATATATAGAGGTTAGGGGTGGGTGGGGAATAATACATAATTAGTCTGGAAAGATAGGTTGGAGCCCAGTTATGAAGGGCTTTATATACCCTAAAGAGGAATTTCTATTTTACCCCAAAGCAATAAGGAGTTTATGAAACTTCCTGGCTTTTCCATTTACTAGATATCTGACCTTGGGCAAGTCACTTCCCCAAGATCTCCCTCCTTAGTTTTCAGGTCAGTGAAATGGGATTTCATGTCTATCCTACTTCTTGGGTTTATTGTGAGAGTCATCAAATGAAACTGGATTGGAAAACACTTCAAAAATTGATTATACAAATAAAAGTTTTTTATTGGAGAGGCGCTTTGGTATAGTCATAATTGATAGAATTCTAGACCTAATGTCAGGAAAAATTGCATTCAAATCCCATCTCTGATACTAATTGGTTATACAACCATTAGAACCTCTCTCTGAGACTTTAGATTTGAGGTGTGTACCCAAGTACCAATGGAATCACAGATCCTTTATGTCAGTCAGTCAATGTTCATTTATCCAGCATTTACCATGGGCTAGGAGCTCTGCTAAGCTCTGGGAATACAAAGAAAGGCAAAACATTATCCCTGCCTTCAAAATGTGACATTTGGCCAGGGGAGACAATATAAATACTGACATACAGACAAGATATGATGTAGTAAATGGAAGGTAATCTCAGAGAGAAGGAGCAGGGGATGAAGAGGAGAGGGGACCATTAAAGGCTCCAGCAGAAAGTAGGATTTGAGCCCAATCTTAAAGGAAGCCCAAGGAAGCAAGGTGGGTGAGGAGGGAAGAGGAGAGGAGGAAGAACATTCTAGGCATGGAGGACAACAGAAACAACATTACAGAGAAAGGAGACAGAGTGTTACGTAAGAGGAATGGCAAGTTATCCAGTAGCTGGATCAGAGAGCCTATGGCAGAGACTCACATATAGGAAGCTGGAAATGTGGAAGGGGCCAGGTGGTGAACAGCTTTAAATGCCAAAAAGACTTTCTATTTGATCCTTGCAGTTGTAGAAAGCTTCTCAAGCGGCCCCACAAAATGTACTTGGTATTAATATGCACATACATGTATATACATATTTACATGTGTTTGCATGCATTTACATCTGTGCAGGCAAAGACAGCTTCATTTTTGTCTTCATATTCCCATCACTGAGAACTGTGCCTGGCACATAGTAGGCGCTGGTTGAGAGACTGACTAAAATGTTCAACAAGGCACTGCTCTCTGGTACATTTAAAAGCACCTGGAGTTCAAAGACTGAGCTCAAATTCCTAATTCTAATTTCTAATTCAAATTAGAAGCTTACTAACTATGTGACCCTGGACAAGTCCACAACCTCCCTGGACCTCAGCTCTCTCATCTGTAAAATGAGGGGACTGGACTAGATGGCCTTCAGATCTGTGGGTCTGTGATCCCATCTTCAAATAGGTTGGTTTCTGTGAATGGGCCATGTCCCCTTCTTCTTCCCCTCCCCCCATTAAGCTTCCCTGGCCTTTGCACACGTGGTCTAGCAGATGCTGAGCAAGCATCTAAGGCACATAGGGCTTCAGGGTAAGATTTCACTGAAAACAAAATCGATGCACAGAAACTTCAGCTGACGATGCTGTGAAACTTGTGGCTGGATTCTGGAATCTTATATGGATTCCATCACGTACAGAGCCTGATTGCCATCCGAAATGGCCACAAGCTAGATCCAGGAGCAGTTCCCATTCCGTTTTCTACATGAACATCATGGAGAGAATTTGGCCTGAGTTCTGTTTTGCGATGAATTATTAGATAGGGAGCAACGAGGCCTGGCAGGGCAAGGGGAGGTCAACTCTGAAAGCCAACAGCCAAGTCACATGGGTGATTTGGTACCAGACTGCTGTCCCGGTTTTCCTGGCCTTTGAAAGGCAGGCTTTTTTATTTTTTTCCTATTGCTTTGGTTGATTTATTAGGCAGGCAGCGGCAAATATAGTAAGTTCCTTTCCGATTCCAAATTTATAGCCACACCATGGCATAGATCTTGTCTCCTACAAGAAAACCGTGTAGACATGGAAGATGTATGGTCACTCCTGCTGCAGCCCCCTGCCGTGCCTCATTTAGTGGGGAAAGTAACTCATGTGTACTACTGAGCGTTTAAACATTTGGAGCTAAGTCAGCCTGTGTTCTTAATTAGCCACACAACCGCTCCACGTCAGAACTTTTTGGGGAAAAAAAAAGTTTTCTTGAATGAAATGAACAAGATGAACAGCTGTGACTGTCACTCTTATCTTTCTAGACAAGCCAGATTACCAATGACAGTTTGTGGGAATGAGAGAAGAAACCTCACTTGCTACAATCACAGCAACTGCACAGAGCTCCAGGGCGATTTAAAATGCGTGTGCCGGCCAGGTTTTACTGGAGAATGGTGAGCCACCTCAGGAGTTGTCTTAAAATTCATGATGGGGAAGAGAATTCAACTAGATGATCCAAGCTTCTTCAGGCTCCAATGCTCTCCCTCCCCATCCCCACTGATTTCTTATCTCAATAACCAAAGGAAAAAAATCTCTGTAGATGCAGACATTCAGAATTAAAGAATTTTAACATGTTTCAATGAGAGACAGGATGGCCTGTAATGTAAACACAAAGGAATTAGTCTGTTAGTCAGAGACATTAATAGAAAAATGTCACTGATAAAAATTCCAAAGGTTATTATCCCCACCTTCATGATACCAATATTTCTGGCTCCTCCCTCAGCATGTAAATGTTCCTGGCTCCATGGGACTATCACAAGAATTCCAAACATGGCAAAAATGAGGTTTCTATCAATTTAAAATTAAACAGTATGTAAGAAAGGAAGGTTAAACCACTAGCTTGCCAAGATATCCAGAAGCTTAGCAATAACTTCCTACACTTTTATTCTCCCTTCACCCACAGAGCTGACATCTAAGGCCCTCAGCCATTCCTCATCTAGTGGTCACAGAGGCAGACACATGAATACACTCACTTATTGGGAAATATTAGAAGAAAAACCATCATCTACCAATCCCACAAATTAGCTCCAAAGTCAGGTTGGGATCACCTAGGCTCCCTACTCACCCTTCTACAGAACAAAGAAATTCAAGCACATATGACTCGAATATCCAAACTGTGCCCACATACATGATGGATTCTTTTTTTTTTTTTTAAAGTTAATTGAATAGTTATTGGGAAAATGTGTTTGGTGAGCTTGGGGAAGAGGGGTGTATGTAACACAAACTAGTCTGCCTGAATTTTTTACTTTTCAACCAGTTACTCTGGGCCAGACATGGCTATAATGTCCTTATTTCTGCCAAACAGTAGGCAGACTGGAGGCATTCCTTTATTTTGGCTGGTTGGGTCCCTGAGGGGTGAATCTAGCTTTTGCCACACAACACAGCTTCTGTTGATGTTGCTAGGCACAGGCATCCGTCCGCTTCCTGAGCATAGATGCATGGATATAGCAGGCTATGGCCCTAAGCCACATTCCTACTTTCCATAGTTTTTGTTACTCAGTTTAGACATTCTGTACACACCAATCAATGTCACACATCACATTAACTGCTAGAGACTGCTCAGCTGGCCTCCAACTTATTATAGCTCCCAAATGCTGCAACTAGTCTTCAGCTCTAAGTTTTATATCATCTCCTTAACTATCTTTGAGCTTTTGCTTCTTACATGGCAGTCCAGTCTGCTTCTGATTTCATGACATACTTTTTAAAGGCTAGCTATGCCTGTATTAATGATCCAAAGCTTTGGGATATATTATTTTTCCTTCCATTCTCACACATTGTTCCAGTTTAATAATAAAGGGATCCTTTTTTAATACCCATTTATTCATTCAAAAAATCCAGGATTTAAAGTTGAATTTTTAACATGAAAAATTGCTAGGAGCAGGGGAAAGGCTCTGAGGTTTTCCTTTGGCTGGGAGAGGGAAAGTAATGGGGAAGGTAGAGGGGATCATCTGGGTAAACTTCCTCTCTGAAAATTGATTTGTAAACCAGCAAGCACTTACTTAATACTTTCCACATTTCCAAAGCCCTTTCCCATCATTAGTTAATTCACCAGATGCTAATAGATTTATTTATTTTCATTTCCATCAACTCGTTAACCTGTAATGAACACTAAAATGACTTCAGTACTGGCATCCTCTGTGTTACTCAGCTCTATCTCCATTAAAAAAGCAACATAAAGAAAAGGGAAAAGGGATGGGGGCTGGGAGGGGGGATGGGTTTAGAGAGAGAAGCTAGAGAAATCCAAGGAAATGTTAGCAGTGTCCCAAGGCCTAATGGATATAACTTATAAAGCCCCCAAAGATGTTGAAAAAATTTCAACTAAAAATGTGTCTCCTTCGTTGACTGGTTAAATCCCATACTTGACAAAATCACCCCAGCAGGTTGTGAATGATGGATGAAATGGAACACTCCTGCCCACCCGGTACAGAGAGTGCTTTGGCAGACCCTGATAAGTTGTAAAATTTAGCTCAGATCTAATCAGAGAAGACTCCTTCCAGCCCAGAAGCCTAGGCCAAAAAAGGAAAACAAAATTTCTCAAGCATGCAAGGTATCTGTGGGGGTAAGGGTATGTTTTTCTTGGAAGATACTGACTTTTCCTTCCTCCTTCTCCCTTACCTACCACCCTATTCATCAAGAGTCCGGGTAGTCTGTTGGACAAACTATGCTGGCCTATGATTCAGGAGATAAGCATCTTTCTCACCTAAAATGCTAACCTATATTTAAGTGGGATTTGATGTGAATTTCAAAACTGTACAATTTGGCACCATTGAGAATTTTCTAAGTTTATGAACAAGTTGCTGGCTAAAGACAAAACAAATTAGCAGTGTCATCTTGTCAGCAGACCTCCAAAAGAAAGGCTCCCAGGTCTTCTCAAAATAATGTTCCCTTCTGGGGATTATGCTCTTGAATGGCAGGGAAACTTCCTGAAAAGCTGAAGAAGGTGCTGAGTACCTGAAGCACAGCTATATTCCCAGTTAGAGCCACTACCAATCTACTTTGCCTTTTTCTCTGGAGTCCAAAGTGAAAACAGAATCACAGACCTTCTGCAAATGAACCTTTTCGATGTTTTGGTGGTATTTCCCCCTTAGCACACTAGCTTAGCACACCCTCACAGATGATATAAATGGGGGCACTGTTGGTTAGAATCTTGACTGCATTCATTCAACTGCCTCTGATATGCAAGGTATTGGATGGCAACACTATCCTCTCTCTTACGGTGTTCACACGTCCCTAATAAACATAACTTTTATAAGGTGGGAAAAACACACTAATACTCTCCAGGGAGAAACTAGGTTTTACATTGCCCCAGCTTCTCAGTTGGATTCCAGATACATACACCTGTTTTATTCATTTTAGCTAAGTGAAGACATTTTTTTTCTGAGGATATACTTTCTTCACCCTGAGCAAGAGGCTTGATAGAAGAATGTTAAAAGGAGTTCTCCCCACATTGCATGGCAGCTGGTGGATAAGATTTTGTTCTGAATCCTGATGAAATACTCATTATTTCTAAGTAAGCTCATTCAACAAGTTGGAGATGGGATGTTTCTGTTTGTTCTTTGAGGTGTGAAAAGGACATCAATGAGTGTGAGTCTACCCCCTGCCTAAATGGAGGCATGTGCCAGAACCTGCTCAACACGTTTCATTGCAACTGCGATGGCAACTTCGCTGGAGACCGCTGTGAGCTCGACGTAAGCGACCTCTCCTTCTATGTCTCTCTCTTATTGTGGCAGAATCTCTTTCAGCTTCTCTCTTACCTCATTCTTCGAATGGATGATGATCCAGTTGTTGAGTGGGGTGAACAGGAAGACTACTAAAAGTATCAAACAACCTTCTCTAATTTATGAGCCATTGAAACCTAACAGATGCCTTACTTAGGTGGAAAAGTCAGCTTTAGAACTTAAAAAAAAATAGCAACCCGAGTTTTCAAATAATTCCAAAGGCAATTTTGAAGCTTATGGCTAGCATTTCACGTGCATATATAATGCATTTCCTTGTGATAGCTTTGAGCTTCATTAGCACAAAAACCTTTAGCATTTAGAAGCTTTTCACACAAGTGGGCAGGGCATGTCTGCCATTATGAATCAAGTAATGATGGATTGTTCTGTGTGACAGTCAGAAAAAGGGCCCCTGCTCTCCTATCCATTTCTGTAGCTAAATTTATATTGTGATCTGCCTGCATTCACTGCTCTTCTACTGACTTTTATGTTACTTCACCAGGATCTATCCTTTATGACAGGATGGTCTAAATTTGCAAGTTAATGATTGAACTGCCTTCGCCTCCTATCCATGTGGTTATGCAGAGCTACTTAAATGAAGTTGTCCTACCTCACTATGATAGGATGCAAATATATGCATGTATGTGTAAACATGAATATTAACTATCTATACACATACACATATGAGAGAGAGGAGAGAGGAAGTATATGTGTGTGTACGTGTATATGAGAGAGAGAGAGAGAGGGAGGGAAGGAGGGAGAGAATGAAAATGATCAACAACAAGACACTAACATTAGGAAATTTTAAGTCACGGAAAATTTGGTAAGTGAATTCTTAGATGCAATTAGTTTCAATAGAACAAATTACACCTAGGTACAGTTTTATTCCTGATCTATGAAATATTCCTCCTTTAAACAAAATGTCAGGCTAAGCCTCCCCATACTACTCCCACTCTACCATTTCAAAGAGAAGACTTCTCCCTTGGATTTATGTATTTTGGGGGTAATTAAGAGATCTCTTAATGAACCTCAGGTTACAAAAACCACATAATACATTAGTGCTATATAATATTTATATACAAGATAGGGGTCAAATAGAATCCTAGAAGACTAAATCTTTTTAGATCTGGTTTTTACAATCTTTTACAAAGAAATTTGTTCTATAGAGCCAATTCTTTGAAAGTATCTAAGAGGCAGAGACCTTCCCATCATCAAAATATATTTGTAGCTTTGAACTTGACCATGCATATACACACTCAACCACTACCACACCGATGAGGTTTTCATTCGAAAATTATGGGTCAACACAGTACATATAAAAATAAGATATAATAATAATAGTGTATCTCATTTAATATATTACTTTACAGTATGTAAAGACAGTCATTGGAGGAAATTTTATTCACTACTATTTTTGTAACTCCCTTTAGCCTGGCAATTTTTGGCTGTGCAGTAGGTAATAGGCAACATTCATATGGCACTTGGAGAATTACAAAGTGCTTTATACCTATTTCCTCATGGGATCCTGACAAAAGCTAAGTGAGGTAGCTGCTATTATTATCCTTATTTTTTTAGGTGAGAAAGCTGAGGCTGCAAGAGGTTAGGTGACTTGCCTAGGGTCACCCAGCCAAGGAAGTGTCTGAGGCCAGATTCAAACTCAGGTCTTCCTGACCCCAAATCCAGGGGTCACTACACCAATGAATCAATCAGTGAGTGTTTATTAAGTGTATACTTTATGCCAGGCACTGTGATAAGTGCTGGGAATACAAAGAAAAAACAAAAACAATCCAAGAGTTTTCTTCCTTCTAATGGGGAGAGACAGCATGTACATAAATTTGTGCATACCTGACAAAAGAGTATATAAAAGGCAGCCTTAGAAGACATGAACAGCTAACACAAATATTTGTGTAAATGTAAAAGCAAGTTTTTTTCTATTTTGATCCTGTGACAATAAGCAAATACATTCTTAATTTAGATGCTGAAATAATAATAGCATTAAAAATTCTTTTAGCATATGCCTTGGTTTGAAAACATGGGAGTAATAAATGAGTTAGGCAATTCTTACCATTTGTACAACTAAAGATGTTTTTAAAATGTTATTTTCCAATGTAAATGACCAGGGTAAAGCTGACATTCATCTCTCTATACAATATTCTTCACATCTAAACATGGCATGAATCCCTCTCTTGGGACATTTAACAAAGGTGCCTCCCAAAGTAGATACCCAAGTAATAGTCCCTCTATCTAAGGGGTTAACTTTAATTGGAACCAACTTGGGATGAAGATAGTTAATTTTATTTTTATAGAGCAATTAGAAGATTTTCTACCACAAGTGTATGTCATGTAGAGATGTGTTAGTTATTTCATGGGGGCAGATAGCAACCAATCTCAAAGTGTTTGCTTTCTATACTCAGGGATTCCCCCTAGTATCCACTTTCCTTAGTTATCACACCGCTGTCTTGGATGAGCTGATATCGTAAAAGGGAGCTGAGGTAAAGATACTTCCCCATCAACTATTCCAGTATAATCTTGCACTGGATAAGAAAATGGCCATAGCTGAAGACTGTTCAAATATGTAAAATTTCATCCATACAACAAACATTAATGGAGAAGCTATTATGTAAAAGTAGTACATAAGACCACATGCCATATAATCCAGTTTATGACATTTAATATATGCTATAATTAAAAGCTGGTCATTCATACTTTCTCTGTATGTACAACACCAATGCCATTATTTTCACTGTGATTGTAAATTACTTTTCTTATTTTCAAAAGCTTTGTCATCCTGAAACATTCAACTTTTTAAAAAATGCTGTCCTTTTTTTCTTTGTATTTCTGTATTCTCTACCATGTTATTTGTGATCATAGCTTTCCCACTTCTTTACATTAAATAAACCTCTGCTCTTGTCTTTACTGTGTGTCTTCTACCTCTCACTTCTATGCTGATGACTGTCTTCATTTGCTTTAAATGTGTCATGCTCTAAAAGAACCCACCAAGCACAACATACCACACTGATGCATGAGGCGTTGTTCTTCTGTTCTCCAAGCCAGTGTCAGTAAGGAAGCACCCAAGGATACCAGGGCCAATGTGGTCTATGAGCATCTTGTATTCATTCCCCTTATCCTTCTCTTTTTCTCCTTCTTTCTCCCCCTCTCTGGAGACATTTTAGGATACATCAGATTCTTGTCTATTCTGATCATTAACTTACTTGTACTGTCTCTATTAAAATTATCCATCTTGTTATCCCTCTCAACTCTCAAAACACAGACATCTTCTGAAAACCTTCCCCAACTCTTTTCTTTACTAAAGTTCTGAACTTTTCTCTTAGACCACAAGCATACATTTCATTCTGCTCACAATTCAACTGCCACATGCAATCTCCATGTCGATGTCTTTGTAGCTATGTCTCCTTAGCTTTTTAGTTTGGAGGGCATCATCACCATTATTGGAAAATAAACAAGTGGGAAATCTGTATTAGGGACCAAAGAGACATGGCAGCAAATGGTTTGATATTCTAATGGAATTAGTATTTTCTCACCATTCAAAATTCTTTAGTAGGTTATTTTTTTAATTGGGGAATTATTTTTTGAAATGTAAAATTAAATTCCTTCAATGAAGAGATTTGGTAGCCTGAGGAAAGACATATTTCTTTTTTTCTTGAAAGGGTAAAAGACAAGAGTTTGAGACTATAATGATATGGGTTAGAAGCTAATGGAGAAAGTATAGCCATCTTTCTTAACAGCAAACTTTGTCACTGGCATAGATTCATCACTACCAAGCATGAATTTTTTTTAAGCTTTTAGAGAGGTCACATACAACTCTCTGATATTTAGTTAGAGCCCATGGGATTTATAAGTGAATAACCGCATCAGGAATGTGATCCTCTTCAGAAAAAGTTATGATTCTGTCTGAAAAATGGATCCTTTTGGTTAGGGGAATGGAAAGGTAGGGAAAGGCTAAGAAATCTCAAATGTTTCATTTAAAAAAAAATTCCTGAGTCAATGAATTTTTGTTTATCCCTTGACAAATATTTTAAGTTTCCATTGTGTACAGTACACTGTGCTAGGTAGTAAGAGAGAGACCTAGCTCAGCTAAGACTTCTTGCCTACAGGAAGCTTGCTATCTATTAAAATGGGTTACACACCAACACATGTAGCTGAAATGCACAATGTTGTATATTAAGTACATTAAAGAGGTGAAGAACAAATTTGTGCGTGAAGTCTGAGCTGAAGAGGTCCTTACTGATGGAGGTTGGGATCATGAAGGAATGTCATGGAAGAGGTCTCTACAGAAGTTGGACTCTAAAGGATGATTAGGAATTCAGCAAGTAATGAGAGAGAATGAGGAGATTCTAGGGAGAGGAAAAAGCATATGTGAAAGCAAAGGGGCAAGAAAATGCAGGATATGATAGTGGAGCAGAGAATGGCCCAACTCACCATACTTGAAGATAATTTAAATGTTCTATTTTTCATATCTTGCTTTAGTCCTAAATAAGAGCTTAATTTTTTACTTTTGTCAGATGCCAACCTGATGTTATTATACATATAGTGGAGAAATCTGAATGGGTTGATGGTACAACTAATTAGATCCATAACTAGTTAATGCCCATGCTCAAAGAATGTTAGTTGACAGACCCAGATTCAGACTGGAGAAAAGTGTCTAGTGGCAATGCTATAGGCCTCTTGTCCTTGGTCAAATACTGTTCAAAAATTTTATCTTGACTTGTATGAAGTCATGTCAGTCAAATCTGTGAATGGCACAAAGCTGAGAAAGATAGCCATTGGATGACAGAATAAGGATGTAAGGTAATCTTGGTAGCTGGCATGATGGGCTGAATCTAACAAGATGAAATTTTTAAAAGGGATAAATATGAAGACCTACATTTAGAATGAGAAAATGAACTATTTAAGTGTAGGATTAAAGAGCTCTGGCTTAATAGCCTTTGGAATGGAAAAAGACCTAGAACTTT